CAAGATCACGGCCATACTACAGAGCAGTGCAACAGCTTAAAGTTCGAACTGGAAAGTTTAGCTCAGAAGGGAATGCTGAATGAGTATGTGCAGAGAGCTGAACAGCCGCGGTTTGTCAGGGAGCAGAGACCACAGCCTCAAGGAGTCCGCAACCCCCCGAATAGACAAGGTGTGGGATATCAGCAAGCCCCACCTCCGCTCCCACCACCGGCTAGAATCATACATATGATTACGGGAGGCCTTGAAGCAGGAGGACTGAGCTCTAAACAGCGAAAGCTGTATGTCAGAGAGGTTAAGCATCAGAACCGAGCTCAGAAGCGGAAGATTGACGATGCTGAATGGAAGAATCAACCCATTACTTTCACATCTGCTGACCTCGACACAGTTGTTACACCCCACAATGATCCCCTGGTCACTTCTGTCATCATCAATAACTGTGAAGTGCAACGTGTCCTTGTTGACACTGGGAGTGCACCAGACATCATGTATTTTCACTGTTTCGAGAGTCTGGGACTGGATCCAGCATTGTTGCAGAAGTATGATGGTCCCATCTATGGTTTCAACAACCAACCTGTTCCAGTAGAAGGCGTTCTTACCCTCCATATGGCTTTTGGAAGTGGTCGGACCTATGTCGCCCCTCCAGTTCGGTTCCTCGTCGTCAAGATGGCCTCTTCTTTTAATATTGTTATTGGCCGACCCACATTGACCGAAATCCGAGCTGTGGTTTCCCAATCTCACCTCTGCATGAAGTTTCCCACTCCTATGGGAATAGCAACACTACGAGGAAATCAGGAGGTGGCCAGACACTGTTATATCACCTCGGTAACACAACCAACGAAGGGCAAAGATAAGACACTCGAGGTCATTCCCCAGCAGATTCCTGATAATCAGCAGGTAATGGGTGTAGAGATCATTGATAATCGACCGAATGATGAAACCAGAGCTGCTCCGGTTGAAGATGTTGAAGAAGTGCTGGTTGATGACAGAGATCCGAGCCAAAAAACGCAAATCGGAACTCGATTGAACCCAGAAGAGAGAGCAGAACTGATAGCTTTTCTCCGAGCCAACAATGATGTATTTGCATGGACTTCGGCGGATATGCCAGGAATTCCAACTTCAGTATGTCAACATAAGCTCAGTACCAACCCATTGAAGAAACCAGTGGCCCAGAAGCGGCGTCTCTTTGGGGGGGGAGAGGCTTCAGGCTGTCAAAGAAGAGGTGGAGAAGCTCCTACAAGCTGGTTTTGTCAGGAAAGTTGATTACTGCGAATGGGTGGCTAACCCAGTCATGGTGAAGAAGGCAAACGGTAAATGGCGAATGTGTATCGATTATACAAATCTTAACAACGCCTGCCCCAAGGATTGCTATCCGATGCCGAGTATTGACAAATTAGTTGAAGCGGCTTCAGGTAACGAGAGGTTAAGCCTCTTGGATGCATATTCTGGGTATCACCAGGTGCCGATGGCTCCCGAAGACGAAGAGAAGACCTCGTTCTATGCTGGCGACGAGATTTATTGTTATGTCATGATGCCGTTCGGCTTAAAGAATGCAGGTGCTACTTACCAGAAAATGGTGACCATAGTCTTCCGAGCTCAGATCGGCAAAAATCTGGAGGTGTATGTGGATGACATTGTGGTAAAGAGCCTGAAGGCAGAAAATCATCTAGTCGACCTCGACGAAACCTTTAACAACCTCAGAAAGAACCGGATGCGGTTAAATCCAGCCAAGTGCATCTTCGGAGTGGAGTCTGGAAAGTTTCTAGGTTTCATGGTATCCCGAAGAGGGATTGAGGTCAATCCAGAGAAGATCAGAGCAATTGCCGAGATGGAACCGCCGAAGTCAATTAAAGATATACAAAGATTGACTGGAAGGGTGGCAGCTCTGCATCGATTTATCTCCAGGTTAGCGGATAAATGCTTGCCATTCTTCAAAATTATGAGGTCGGCCGCCCA